TATAAAGTTTTCATAAAATTTCTTATAGTTTTGACATATTTTATATATGCCAAGAGAGGGATAAGAAATTTTGTAACTGATTAATTGAATATTAGATTCAGTTTTGTGTTTTATACTTTCTGATCATTTCAGTCTGTAAGGTTAAAACAGACAAAGAGTTGGTGTGTGTCTTATCATGTGTTCTTTCTTTTAGTCTAAACAAAACTGAGTACGTTCTGACATCTGACATAAAGGTAACACCTCCAAGGGTGGAACCAGGAAGAGATATACATTATAAGCTCTATTCATTGTTATAGTGGAAAGGAGTTGTCACAGTGTAAAGAGTCTCTGCTTCTGWGCAGAGCAGCTCTGCTTTGTTTGGGTTTTCTTGATATGAGCCCAAGGTCTGACTGAGGCCTGTGTGCTGAGTGCTGTTCTGTGAACCTGATTGGAGTCAGAAGACTGAAAATAAAGTTATAAAGAAGAAATCCAGCTGATTCCTGTTTAAACAACACATACTTTTCCAACACTTGGGTAAAGCATCTCGGCCGTATAGCTTATCAGTTCACCAGAGTCTTGCTAATCCTGTGAATGTTTATTTACCTGTTTCCAGAATATTACCCTCCTGTGTTCCCCAAGAACCAACTTGGTACGTGCCTGAGGATTTTCCTGTTGAGAGCCGCTCCCTCAATCCAATCTGTGCGCTGCCTGTCTGCCTTCACCCAGCCTGAAAACAAAGTCACCTGTAAGATACTCACCTGTGTATACTCACCTGGAACCGTGGATCCTCTCCTCTGCAGTGAGTCCTCCGCACTAACCTGTAAGAAAGAAAACTCTATTTCTTATCAATCATCCTCTGGATAAACCCCTGAGATACTCACCTGTGAAACCCGTCCTCTTCCAGGTCCTGACCCGTCCTGCACCAGTTGTAAAGAAAACCTTTTACCTGAGTTTCCTGTCTCTGTCTGTTACTGGTTCTGCTCACGTTGACTCCTTTGCTGAGAACCTGACAGTGGAGGAACAGCTCCAAAGTCCTCCATCGTTGTCTCTGCTTCCCTCTGCTTGTCGATGTCCTTCTGGCCTTTAGCAGCATTTTCTGCACAGGAATACGGTCTTTCTGTCCCACAGCTTTGTAAAGTCCTCATGAAGACAAAGTTGTCAGAGGACAGCGTGTCCATGTGGCCTGTAGAGATGGACACACACATTGATTTAGGTTTTAATGTAGTAATTATGTGTTGAACTTAGTGAATGTTTGATTATAAACTGTGAGCTAAAGATGAGGCTAACTGACCTGACTGCAGC